GCAATATGAATTAATGAACTTGAAACAAGGAAGAGACAAAGTTGAAACCTACGCATCTAGATTCAAGAAATTAGCAAATAGAGTGGATGCAAGAGGAATCCCTGATGCCTTTAAAGTGCGAATGTTTTTAAATGGATTGAATAAAGAGTAGCAACCTTAGTAGCTATTCAAAATCCTAATACATTAGATGCTGCAATCACTCAAGCGAAAACTGTTGAAGCAGAAAGATATTATGCCATGGAATATGATTTTAGCAAGCCAAAAGTTGAGGACGACCTTGAAAAGTTGACTAAACAGTTTGAACAAATGGCATTAAACCAAGTCAATATTATGTCAGCCTTGACAACTAATAATGTTGAAAGAAAGAAACCTAACTTTGAAAGAAACTTTGACAGAAAAGAAGTAATCTACTTTAGATGCGGAGAAAAGGGACATATTGCAAGAAGATGTCTTTCAGAAAAAGTTATGCCTCAAGAAAGTTGACATACAAAGAATAATGATTCAAAAAAAAGAGAAGTAAACATGCTTGAACAAGAAGTCTTTCCAGCAATTAGAAGAAAGAGATCTGAATCTCAAAGAAAAACTACAACCAGGAAGACCAGAAGTAAACCAAACGAACCTATGGATATTACTGAAGAAATCCCTGAGACTATAGTTAATAACACTACTATGCCAAGAAAAAGAATACCAAGAGGACCATCAATCTTGGATAATATCAAACCATATAACATTTAGAATGACCTTGTTAATGTAAAAGCAAATGTCAACATTGGACAAATGATGCAATGTAGAGAGCAACAAAGAAAACTTCTCCAAGGAATGAGACGACCAAAATTAGAAGGAAATATGGCACAAACTAATCCGACAGAAGAAGGTGAAAGAACTATGGCATTGAGATGTCATGTTAACATCAAACGGAACTCAGTAGTGGCAATAATTGATACTGGAGCAGCAGTTAGCATTATGACGAAAAAGCTAATGAAAAAACTTGGATTGATAATTCAAGAAGCATCACAAGTGATTATTGTCACAGCTAATGGTCAAAGAGAAAGAGCATTAGGAGTAATTAAAAATGTACCTTTGATTATTCATGGAATTCTTATCAAAACAACCTTTCAAGTCATCGAATCAACAGATGAAACCTTATTACTAGGAATAGATTGGTGTAAGAAAAATAAAGTTAACGTAGACTTTGACAACAATGAAATGCTCATAACAAGCGAACTTGACAAAGTTATTGTTCCAGTACAATGTGTTGTAGGAAATAGAACACCCACTATTGTATTTGATGAAGAAATTGACCAAATGATTGATGAAGAATTGGAATACGATACTGATAATGACGCTGAGGAAAGAGAAAGTTATTATATTGAAACTTTAGATTATCAAAGTGATAATGATAATGAAAGTGAAACCTCTACTCAATCCTGGGCAGAAGAAATGGAAGAATATGAAAGAAGTATCTTACAACAAGAGGTAGATGACCCAAAATATGTTTTAAATATTTTGTACGATCAAGATGGCATCTTTCTTTCAATCAGAAAAGGAGAAATTATGAAGGGACTATGGCAAACTCCTGGTGGAAAAGTAGACGAGGGAGAAATCCCAATGAAAGCAGCAATTAGGGAAACTGAAGAAGAAACAGGATTAATTTTCAAAGAAAAAGATCCTGAATATTTATTCAATGACCCTGAATTTAATTGCAACGTTTACATTACAAAAGTACCAAAAGATGTGGAATTGGAGCAAATCGAAAAAGACAAAAATGGACTATGGATTCATTTTGACTTTTTAAAATATGAAGATATTGCAAAACGAGAAAAAACCACTCCTACTCATACAAATTTTATAGATGAAATTCTGGATAGAATTTTATGGGAAACCTTACCATGTAATATTGCAGAAATTATTCAACCTGAAGTTGAAAAGGAAAAGTTCACTACGAAACAACAAGAGGAAATTGATAACTTAATCAAAGAAAATGAAAGTAGATTCGTGACCAACATTTCTGAAACAGAAAAATCGACAAAAGTTGGACGAACTAATGTGACCCAACATCGAATTGATACCAAAAATGCCGATCCAATCAGAAGAAATTACTATCGAACTATAAAAGAAGAAACCAGATTTTATTGATGGAGAAATCAAAAAGATGTTGAAAGAGGGAATTATTCAAGAATCAGACAGTCCCTGGGCATCTCCAGCTATTCTTGTAAAAAAGGCAAATGGCAAAAAATGTCTATGCATTGATTATAGAGGATTAAACAAACTCACAAGAGAAGATGCATACCCTTTACCAAGAATCGATGAGATTTTGGAAAGTTTGAATGGATCAAAATGGTTTTCTACTTTTGATTTGGCAAGTGGATTCTGGCAAATTGAAATGAACCAAAAGGATAGAGAAAAAACTGCATTTGTTATCAAAGGAGGACATTACGAATTTAATGTTATGCCTTTCGGATTATGTAATGCACCAGCAACCTTTCAGAAAACAATGAACAAAGTATTGAAAGAATATATTGACCGATTTGTGGCAGTATTTATTGATAATATTATTGTCTACTCGAACAATTTTGAAGAACATTGCGAACATTTACAAATGCTCTTCGATAAATTGGAAACTGCAAATCTAGCATTGAACAAAGAGAAATGTGAAATGTTCAAAAGAGAATTACGATTTCTAGGACACAAAATCAATGAATATGGAATGCAACCCGACCCCCAGAAGATAGAGAAAGTGCAAAACTTCCCTGTTCCTAAAAATGTGAGACAAATTAAAGGATTTTTGGGATTAGCATCATATTATCGCAAGTTCATTAAAGATTTCTCTAAGATTGCGAAACCATTAAACAATCTAACAAAGAAAGGAGTTTATTATAACTGGAGCGATGAATGTAAAGATTCTTTTGAAATCTTGAAAGAAAAGTTAACACAAGCCCCAATACTTGGATATCCAGACTTCAATAGAATGTTCTATTTATTTACTGATGCCTCTGGAATTGGACTTGGAGCGGTACTTGCATAAAAAGATGATCAAGGAAAAGAAAAAGTAATTGCTTATGCAAGTAGAACTTTGAATGAACATGAACAAAATTATAGCGCACAAGAATTAGAATGCCTAGCGATTATTTGGGCAGTTGAATATTTTCACCACTTCACTTCACTTAAACCTTTTATTTTAGTAACTGATAATGCTGCTTTAAAATGGTTACAAACTTCTACTGTGAAGAATAGAACGAAAAGAGCAAGATGGTTGTTGAATTTACAGCAATACACATTTCAAGTTCAGCATCGCTCTGGAAAGAATAATGCAAATGCTGACGCGTTATCAAGGATAAACTATGAAAATGATGAAAGCTCAGATGAAGTAATCGAATGCTTTACACTTTCAATTGCTAGCGAAGAAAATTTTGCAGATACAGAAAGAGAAATCCAAGGAAATATTTCATCACCTGAATATGAAGAAGACTTAGAAGAAAATAATTGATAGATTCAAGTACATTTTTCTGCATTAGATGTTCCTGGATGTCAGACGAAATGGCAATGGAATGGATTATATAACAACAAAAAGTACCGAAAAAACAGCTATGGTTGTAATGAAAATGACCATCATTCTCATTGGTATTGCACTGAGTATTATCAATGTGCCAATCCATATGGAAATTACATATCCTCACCAACAGAACAAACTATTTGTCATTGTAATGAACGTGAATATTATGAATATTTGAATATGATAGCTTATGAAGAGGAAGCAGAAAATGAACAATCACCTGAACAATTAGAAGATAATAGTGGATCAGAATTTAACTTCAGCAAAGAAGAAATGGAATCCATTCTCGATGGAAGAGGACAGGATTGGAGACAGGACTTGCATGATATTTTCTTGAAAGCTGCAGAATTTAGGCAAACTACCATCAAACGAATGAATGGTAGCAAACTTGAAGAATTTGCTCAAGAGTATTCGGTCAATTGTACACTATGTGGAACAATCATTACTACCAACTTAGATCATGAATGTATCGTTGGCTATAATCTCGGACAAATACATCCTGAAATGGTACCTGAAACTCTTATCAATGAAGTATTTTGGGATATACCTGAAAAGGTACAACAAAATGATGAAGCATGTCTTGCAGCAGTTGAATTGTTGAAACCAATTAATAATCCTCAAACTCGTGATTGGACTGAAGACGAATTAGATGAAATGTTTGGACCATTCGCACCTATTATTACCCCTATTTACTCAACCAACTTTGATGAAACTCGTAGCAGAGTTAGCATCCCAGATTATTAGTTTTTGTTTATTTTTAACATTTATTTATTTTTAAAATAGTCAATTTCAATATTATTTATATATTTTTATTTTTATTTTTAAAGAGTTAACACCTATTTGAATAGCAATTAGTGAGTGAAAGTCTCAACGTTTGAAAAATTTAACTAAGTGAAAGCGAAAGTGTCAACAACGTGATTGACAGCTTAAGTTAAACAAAATAGAAGAAAATCGATATAATCAGTTGAAAGAATATTTAACTATTTCAGTATTACCAAATAATAGAAAATTAGCAAATCAGATTCAACGACAATCAAAACATTTTGTTTTTTTAGAAAATCAATTGTTTAAAAAAGACAAGAAAAACAAAGGAAACTTTCTTAAAGTTCTGAAGAAACATGAAATAGAAACAGTTCTTTATGCGACACACAATCACCCAACTGGAGGACACTTAGGAATTGAAAAGGTCTTCGAAAAAGTTAGAAAAACTATTATTGGCCGCAAATGTTCGAAGATATTAGGAACTATATTAAAGGATGTGACTCTTGTCAAAGAAGAGGGAAGCCCTCAAAGAAAACATTATTACATCCTATACCAGTTGGAAAACCTTTTGAGAAAATTGGAATAGATTTCGTAGAACCTTTACCACTTACGAAAAATGGAAACAAATACATAATCGTAGCAACTGATTATTTAACTAAATGGCCTGAAGCGAGTGCAAAACCTGCAGCTGATGCAAAAACAGTTGTAGAATTTATTTATGAAAATATAATATGTCGACATGGATGTCCAAAATATATACTTTCTGATCGAGGATTACATTTTCGAAACAAAGTAGTAGACGGATTAATGAATAAGTTTGAAATCAAGCACTTATTATCTACACCCTATCATC